TTCTGTTTGTTATTTTTTTCAGATTCATATGTAAGAATACTGGTATATTGTTTGAGAATGACCTCGTTCAAGTAGGAGTCAAATCTGAATTCAGCAATGTTTTAGGTATGGTTAAATTTGTTATCGAAAACCCAGAGACWCTATTTAGTCATTTGTCATTTGTGCACAGAATAAATGCTTCTGTAAAGAAAATGGTARCCACATYTAACYAAGAACCTTCGCTTATTTTGTTTCCCAAAGGATCTCTTGTTAAAAAGTGCTTTCTGGTTGGTTTAAAATCAAATRTAGTTGAGTTTAGTGATCYCTTTTACACAGTGTTGGACTCAATTATGTGTAAAATATGCAGTAATTTAGATAAAACACGATTAAACTATTYTCTGTCTTCTATATTCAGAGATCTCTTGCATTCGTGCGGTCTGTTTTACTGAATAAAAGAATATATTACTGCATGGTTTCACAGTGTAAGAGAGATCGCTAAAAGGGTTTGTTTTCCTATGTGAGGAAATCGCGGAATGATTCTTGGAAGAACTTTCAAAAACGAAAGATAATGACTCTCTCCCCTCTTTCAAGATGACTTCAGCATTCTTTTTTTTTTAAATAAAATCTTGTCTAACAATAATGATTTTCGTTTTTTATCCAGGTCGCATTGGTCTGTTTTATGGAAATAAGACTTCRTCATCGTTTTTTAATTTCTCCACATCACTTAATGTCCAGTCGGACCTCGGCTCTCATATCCTTCAAATTCCATRTTATTATATCATAAATGTAACATATTAATTTTGATATTTTTGATTTCATTACCTTATTCATACTAATTTTCGTTAAAAACCCGCGAAAGAAGTTTACGAACAAATATCCAAAACACGAAGGCCGATTTCGCGAAATTAAGTTCCCATTAGTTCAAWTTAGTACGAATAAGGCTTTATGAACTAATCATTCTTTAGTGCTGTCAAGTTTAGCCACAAATAAGTCAGCAATCTAGCTCAGTATTTTTGCTAGATTTGTGTTACATTTGTGGTAGAGAAAATGATCTTTTTACTCTTGCTTTTTTTTCTCGTTTTGAGATTTAAAAGTAGATCAGAGTTTGGTCATTTGCTCTCTAAACACCAAGCGCATATGCTTAATCTTTGCGGTGTGCTTCAGYCTGAGAGCAAACATACATGTATATGTATCACAATTACAGTTAACAGTATATTGTCGTGCCATTTTTTATGGCGAGCAATACTTTCAGAGTAAAATTGTGTTCCTTGACTATTGGCACGCCTTCAGCTCGAACTTAAACCCGTCAGTCAAGTTGTCGATGCCGGAGCTCAGGTCCAGCAAGTTCTTTCAGTTGAGTGTTTGCAAGATTTCTACGACAGTCCTTTATTAACAGTACAATTTAGGTAAAGTAATCTAATACCACCTCTTGAMCGTGCCATTTTTCTTCAATCCCCTTCTGTTATTAATTTGTTTATTATTTTATTAACGTCTTTCTTTGTTTTGTCAACAGTGTATCTGGTATAAGTCAAAATATAACCCTCAAACTACCGCTATTCCTTTCGAAGTTCTGTACGGCAGTAGAGATGAATTCGCAAGATTTTTTCGCGCGGTGGAAACAGCTTAGCAAGTAAGATATTACATTTGATAAACATTTATACAAACAGTTTTTCCACGCTTTAAAAAAGAATCAGAAAAGACAACAGCAGGTTAATTCAAAAACGTGTAAATGTACTTAGACGAAAAATATTTACGGTGAGAGAGTGAGCGCGCAAAAAGGCGGGAAATGTTAACATTTTGACGCGCGCGTGCAACTGGTCTATTCAYATCTTGACACGCAAATGAAAACAGCTGATGGGAAATCATATTAAAGAAATTATAAATACTAAAGAGAATTCTATTTGATTAGACTGTTTTTTCTTTTGTTACRTAGTCCACAGCAAGAAAGTCAAAAGATATTCAAAGCAAATTTYCCTATGGATGGTACAGCAATTACGACGAAGGTATACTGTAACTGTAATGCAACGAACTTAGTCAACTAGCCCTACTAGGGGAGGGGTTAGGAATAACTGTTTCCGTCCTCACAACACCGTTGTGAAAGCCATTTGATTTCTCGTTACAGCTTACAGGATTTGGTATTGCAATTCAACATAACGTAGACCCTAACCCTGAGAACTTTGTATGTGCTGGGATAATTAAAGCCAAAACAGCTCAGATAGGCTGTCTACTTCGACTTGAACCAAATCGACAAGCACAGGTAACCCAGTCATCTGGGGCTCACAATATATTTGATATTTTCGTCAGTGACCAGTTATAAAAAAAGGCGGGAAAATRTAGCAATTGTAATGCGCGCGCGGCATGTCGTTTTACGTCAAGGACAAGTCACCTCACCTAGGTATAAAAAGGCGGGAAAATTCAACAATTTTGATACGCGCGCGGCGCCTGTCCTTTCGTCAAGAACCAGTCACTCCGTTATTAAAAGGCGGGAAATGCGGAATTCTTGATGCGCGCTTGCGCCATCTTTGGGCAACCGTTATCGTACAGTCTACAATAAATTATATTTTACCTTTTTTTAAAGATTATTTTAATTTCTTGTRATTTTATTTCCAGATGTATCGCCTTACAATTCGTTCATCAAGAGCAGAAGTAGCGCCTCATCTTACAGAATTGCTGTGCGATCTGTTTTAGTTTTACAAACATATAAAAACCAATTCGACATCCGCAAGAGTAATGAAAGCTCTATTTTCTTGTGGATGAATCCATGTTTTCTTATATCGATATTAAGGGAAATTAGTGTACAAACGAACATGGGTCCGACTTAGAAAACGAAAATAGTTTTTTCGATATTTTGCTTCGATAAACTCGTTAAACAGTCTTTATCAAAGGGGAGCTGAAGACAAAAGGGAAGTTGAGTTTGCTTTCTGAATTGATTCCTAGTTCATACGTCGGGCTATCGTCGCACCGTACTTTTGAATCAGCGTCGAGCTTTTGCCTTGCATTTCGTGTTTGGTTCGGCGCAACGATAGCACAACGTATCAACCGGGACTTAAATATTGAGTTGCACAAACACGTTATTAGCATTAGCTAGCTWATTATCCATTCCTACTTCTCAAACTACAAACATGCCGTCTAAATATAGTATTCATTTACAGCAGACGGAAACCAACACACGATTTTTCATTGTGAGACGAATCTTCATGTTTACACATGTTTGAATTACTCATCAGAGAGTGCAAGCGTGGGCTATCTCACTGTTTTTTGACAGTTTATCTGAGATCTCRGTTGTCTGTGAATACTATAAGMCRACCATKATCAAGWGACCATGTCTCAAAATGATTGTAGACGAGGCTCCGGGGAATGAAGAATATCCGTTAACTCTCCGGAGCCTCGTCTGCAGTTCTTGGGTACATGGTTAATATTCAACCAAAACGTCGACCATTCTTTTTCGAAAAATAGAACTAAACCACATTTTGATATTATCTTAATTGACGGCTTATTCTGTGGCGATTAAATTCCCTTTTCAATTTTACCCAAAAATTCTTGAGATTCAGTTGTAGACCAGACTTTGCACTTCGGGCCAACTTAGCAAACTTTCATCAGAATTGATGCATATATATAATGTAGAAAATGTGTTTCGAAAAGGATTAGTATGGGAATTTCAAGCAGTGTGCAAGTTAATGACTCTGATACCGTTGAATAATCAGTTGTGTTAATTTTAGTAAATAGGACGCAAATTTTGCTGAAACTATTYAAAATGCGCAACTTTAGTCCGGAATTTTTGTAAAAAAGAATTGTTTTACTCGGTTGTATCRTTTTGTTCTTCATTCTGTATTACTATTTCTATGTTCTTGGGGTCGGTAGTGATGTTGCAAGTGTGCTCTAAATCCTCCTTATTCCTTGTTTGTGGATTTTAATTTAAAATGAGTTATTAACCAAGAAATCTGCTTGGGGTTCCTTGTAATAGTGGAAGTTTACAATACATTAAGCATTAAGTTTTTAGAATAATATTCCCAAGGGTTGCTAACTTAAAAACTCTTAGGAGCAAGTTTGCGAAAGTAACACTAGTGATTTTATTTGACCTTCGAAAAAAACACTCAAAGTTTTATTCTTCTTCTTCAAAGGCAAACGCACGTTAGAGCCTGAACTTTCGTAAACCAGTTTTCAGCCGTCGGAGTGCCGAGTGCGTCCGGGCGTGATTCGGAAGAGTATCGCAGTGCGTACGGAATCACGACGACTGAAAACCAAGCATTAAACTTTCGYRGGTCGAGTAAAATCACTGAGGACAAAAATGCTGTAAATGGTAAAATGATTATTGTAGTTTTTGTAATGAGATTAGTCGAATTTAAAACCTTATTCAAATGAGAAATGTGTTTATTGACAGAGTGCATTTGGCTTTGGACGGTCAGCGGTTAGGCACCTTAGAAAACAAGATGGCGAATRCGGTATCGATATTTCCTCGGGTACACTGGTGAATTTTTACTCGTGGGATATGAACTTAAAATCTATCAAAAAATAGCCTTATCCCCAGGGCACTCTCTCATATTCAACGTGACATCATGCGATAAGTGCTTTTCTCAGCGACCGCCATATTGAATTCGGAAAGAGGTGTCGGGGTGTCGATTTCTACACAGCCTAATCTAAACGCGGCAAAGGAGCATTTTGATGTTACACAATACTATGATATCACATCCAAAAAGGCCCTATCATTCAATTCCATCGTTGTTCTCTCAGCCTATAAAGTCTCAGWAATTTTTCACAATTCAATAACCCCTGTATAATTTTTCTAATAGAAATATCTGGAATTGTCATCTTTAAAATCTCAGGTGTGTCCTCTCCCCAGTTTTGAAGTCTCGCTCCCCAGTAGTGATTCAACCTTAGTAGGTCCACAGGAGCATTGGACGATCTTCCYCTTACAATATTATGATGCACATTACAGTTTGTTACAAATTGTGGTTTATAAATTGGTTTTACCAGTGCATTTGCTGGGCGAGGAGTACGTCGAAGAATTCGATCTGCTAACCAAAAGTGTTTTGTGTCATTTAACGGCTTTCCAAGGAAGAGGAAATTCTGCATTGTGATTTCCACCACATCAGGGTTTCCTTTCATATATGTCTTGATTGCTCGAGTAAGAAAACCAGGCTTTGTATCAATTGGGCTGAAAGGGTATTCATCAATGTCGATAGCGGCTTGCCAAATGGAATGGTTACCCCAAGTAACCCTACAGTGGTCATATGCCGAAACCTGGGTCTTACCTATGCCGTAAGGTTTAGCAAATTTGGCCCAGTCRGTATAAGTGACGTATCCCTCTTTGATAAAGTGCTTTAAARCCTGTCTTTGGCTCTCGGAATGATTATGGTATGCGTCGTAGACGTAAAYATGCTCGACTCCAGAGTATCGAAGATAAACAAGCCATTGTAGCAACTCCCTTGATGATAACTGTGGAGGATCTCCAGTGTAAATGCGCACTAAAAGTACAGCGGTTAAGAAATATGGCGGTTGTTGACCTKTCCCTCTTACACACCAAGTATCGTATCTCTGACTGCATGTGCGTGTAATCGTGATTTGATATGTAAATCTTGGTTGTAGAGTTTGTGTCTTTATTAGGGTCGCTGTTTTTCATATTTGGCGGTTCGTCGGTTTTTGTAACATATCTATCTTCTTCTGTATGGTGCTTAGTAGTTGTTATAAAAGTACTAAAAGCACTTTTGACTTTTCTAAAGTTGTCCAATGTTCGCTGCTGGCTCTCTTTCTGCTGTTGTTTCTTGTCGATTCTTTTGTTTGCAAAATCTCCATTGTAACTTAATTTCGGTTCTGCTTTTGTCTTCTGTGAATCCTTGTTAAAAGTTTCATCTTCTTCATTGTATAAATTCATCTTGTTTCCGTATAGTTTAAATGATTGAGCTTTTTTATATGTATTTCCCTCATCAAGCTGTTTTACGCTAGTTTGAAGACTGAAGATAAACAAAATTRAAAATATTGTTATCATAAGTAAAGTAAGTTTTGTTTTGGTTTTCATTCTATAAGATAAAAAAGGAATGCCGTCACCAAGCATGAGTTAAGACCAGCCCACTTATTTCATCTTTGTTTCAAAGTTTATGAATCATCGTCATCCATATGAATTGACACTCACGGACCGTGAAAATGAATAAATTAGTTAATAAGTTTTCAATATACATCCAGCAGTCATCAATAACTTTGAAAACTGTGAAGATAAACTAGCTCATGCAGAAGGCGACCACGCCTGATTTCAATTTGGAGTTCAGATCATTGGCAGTGATTATATAAACAAGTTTCGACGTTCAAAACCAGCAAGCCGCTGTAAAAAATCATGAAAACATCTTTTGAATTAATTGAAAAAGTCCAACTCATGCTGTGACTTATTGACTCGCTCGGCTACTRATCTACACCTTGTACAACATGTACAAGGATATTTGCTTTCATTTGGCAAACGTATCATTAACTATAGTATTTCAAGAAAGGATTGTCRSAAAAAATGGTAATTGTCMAACGTCGATTGCACGACCGAAGKTAGCCATAGGTTTTACTAATGTATGGGGAATATTAATAACTGATTTATCCTGTAAGATACTCTGAGGCAATCATTTCCTTCATTTTATTGAGCGAAGTTAACTCAGCAAGTGAAATTCAATAAGTTATGAATAGGACAAGAATGGAYCAGAAACATGAAGAGCTTGAAATTCCTCTCATTTTGACTCTTCTGACATGCATGATCTCTCCTATCGCAAAACAATAAACTGGAAATCTGAATAAACGTAGTATCATGCACGGCGATCCATGGTTACCCATGAGTATCCATGACGACCCGCTGTCCTTGCCGCTGTCTAGAGTGTCCATGGCTATCTATTTCTTTTCCGTTGTTGACGTGTTGCAGGTGCTTATTGAAGACCAATATAAAACAACGTCAGGCAACATCGCTACATCGAAAAATCAACTTGTTTTAAACCTACCCATGCCATTTACTACATATTTTAATAAAACTTGTCGGGGAAAATGACAAATGGCGATGACGGTGTTGCTTGACCATGGGACTATAGTTAAGGCGATATACTACTCCATGAGATGAGGATTTTCAATTGAGTACTAATATTAAAGAATACTTGT